AGTAGATATATAACTTTAAAAATTATAAACTCATGCAACCGCAAAATTAGAGCTTGTTTGGGTCAATGTTAAATAAACATTACATGAAAAACGTGTGAAGATTTTTTTAATATATATATATTAATTTGTATTTCATTGTTTTATATTGTTCTTTCCTGCATGATACAAAATAAATGATGACGGTAATCTACCGTATGTCCTTTATTGAATAATGATCAGTGGTGCGGTGGCGAGCGTATTCCTAATGCTGACGACGTCCAGGAGTCCAGCAATTCTCTCGAACATTATCATCCCCACCGGATTCGAACCCAGGCAGGATAATCAGTGTTGCGGTGGCGAGCGTATTCCGAAGCTTTGCACGATGCGCCACACTGCCGAGCCTATCTGTGTCAAACTCAAATGCACAAAGCTGACTGAAGCAGTAAGGATTAGGCAACAGCGGGTTGGCTGAAGTTTAAATACTGGTGAATCAAATACATGACGAGCCAGTTGTCGACAAACTTGTGAAACAGCGTAAATAGCGTTTCGACAAAAAAGAGAAATAATAATAACGTTATATCGCTTTTATGTACATCTACTTCTATCAATCCACCTTGAATCAACAAACTTCAAAATCAAGCATAAAAATGCGTCGCTACGGGCGAAAAAAGGAACACTTGCATTTAGTTACTCTGCTGCACACCATCGGCTTTGAATCTTAACAACTTCTCTAATTGATTCGAATCAAACATCAATAAGGCGTTGTTTGCTCCACCTCCTCATTTGACTCTTTCGGCGGTCGCTGAACACAACACCAAAACTTTTTGCCCGCTTTGGAACTTAAGAACTTTGTTTTCAAAGTTCTCAAATAACGTTTGCTCCTCTTTATTTCCAGAAAACGTACCAGAATTCTGAAAAAATTTCCAAAATCGCAAGTTAAATTTTGAACTGGAAAACTCATCAACTTGTTTTTACAGTAAATTCATAAACTCCATTCTCACATCTCAACTAAATTACAAGTGTTTTAAGATATTGCAAATGTAGGAAGGAGATGGGTATATATAAACTTATCACTCAGTGGTGGATTTAAAATTTTTTGTCATCCGATTCCTTTACAAAAGTTGTATTTTTCGGCCGGTTCTGTTACAAACAGAACATTAACAGTCCCAATAATGCTAATTGCTAACCGGTTCGCTGATCTCATGAAATTCCGTGAGACGGTTCTATAGAACAGGTGCAAACCGGCTGAATCCCACCTCTGTATCACCCATGTGAAACATCTGACAGAACATAATAAGTTTCTCATCTTCTGAAGATATTCGCAAGAAACACTCGCCAGAGTATGATGTTGCTTCAATTTTAGAAGAATTACAGTTTGTTTGTGATCTATATCTAAGCCCGGGGTCGGCGACCTTTTTTCTCTCCGAACAGAACCGAAGATGGCCGATGAATCACAATTTTTTCACACAGATCAGAAGTTAAAATTAAGAAGACTGCGACAACTCGTGAACTCAACTTAGTCGTCTTGATAAAAACAAGAGAGCAATGCTCAAATATATGGACACGCAGAACAATTTCCCAAAAATCATATGCGGTGACCAACGACTAACATACCGGCGGTGACTTACCAGTACCTGTATTGGGGTACCGTGACGGTACAGGGACTGTCATAGATATTTTAGGTCCTGTGACAATTGAAACATCAGTTGAAATATCTCGTGATATGAGTCAATTATGTACCGTATTATCGGATCAGGTACCGAACCACAGTCAAACATTTCACATAAAAACGTTACTAAATAACATGCGTCATCTTAACACCAGCCGAATCGGGGTACAATTTTTGGTACAGTGACTGTCATAGCCGTTTAGGGCTGATGGACAATTCGACTACACGGACAACTCACCAGGCCTAGGGTGGTGTAGCCAGTCTGCGGACAATTTCATTCAAACCGCTATAAAACAAAAACCAATATATCTAACCCGTTAATTTTTTCACCGTGGGTGCATTGGCGGCATTTATTCTACACGCTAAACCTCGTATTAACTTTCTACGACAAAGGGTTAAAGCTATACAAATCCCCAAAGTACGGCACTCGAAAGACGTATTTGCGACCGACCAGTGTGCGACCACGGATTTCAAGCCTTGATCATCGTTTCTGCTGCGTCGAGACTATCGCATACGCAGCCATACAGCAATCAAACAGACAAAACACGGTGGTCGCAAATTGGTTGACAATTGTTGGTCTTGTGACAGCGTGAAAACATTGGGCTTCTAATTGCATTTCTGACCGTCATATATTTCAAGAACACGGTTATTTCGAACAAAACTCGTTAAATTATAAACAAAGCACCCCATCACAGCAATCAAACAGACGAAAACACGGTGGCCGCAAATTGGTTGACAAAGATATTATCGACGTATTGGAAATGCACACCCCCTATTCCCCCTCCTTCAAATGTAGAAACGCGAAACTTTCAAATATGGTTAAAAGAAACACAACTCTACCTACCTGCCAAGTTTCATCTTTTTATTTCTCATATTTGTATGGATTTTCAAGCTTTTGACAGCTACGAGTTAGTTCAGTGTCACCGCGCTGTGTTACGGTACCAGAACTCCTCTATCTTTAGAAGGTCCTGTCTTGTGACAGCGTGAATTGAAATTGCAAGATGGTCCGTTGGACACAAAATGGCGTCCGATATATCCGCAGAACGTTTAATGACGTCATAGCAAACAAAAACAAATCTTACAGAGCTAACAGAAATATTTGAAATAAATAAAAGTAATAGCCTTCTGGAGAAAAATTTCATCTTCAACCACTGAAAATTTCAAAGCAATTAGTCCAGTAATCAAAGAGAAAAGCGACTTTTTAAAAACGTGTCAAAGAACAAGAACAAGAACAACAACAACAACATAATATTGAAACGATCGTTATGTCCACTACGTGTCCAAAAAAAGAAATACAAATGACACTAATGTGACACTTTTTGTTGCATCACGCTTGATAGCTTTTCGATATCAGGCAGCATGCTGGATGAAGCATATATTATTGGACACGTTTAGTGGCCATAACGATCGTTTCAATATTATGTTGTTGTTGTTGTTGTTGGACACGTAGTGGACATAACGATCGTTTCAATATTATGTTGTTGTTCTTGTTCTTTGACACGTTTTTAAAAAGTCGCTTTTCTCTTCGAATACTGGACTAATTGCTTTGAAATTTTCAGTGGTTGAAGATTAATTTTTTTGCTAGAAGGCTATTACTTTTATTTATTTCAAAATTTTGCGTGAATTCTATGAAATTTGATATTTCGTCTAAAATTTTGCTGTATTATTTTTTATCCATGGGAACACGGATTTTAGTCAGTGTCATGACTGGCTGTACGTTTTGATTCTGCAAAATTCTTGCTACTGGAAATTCAGAACTTTTTTGAGGGTACCGGTAGCGTCAAAGGTACCGGTAAGGACTGATTCGCTCTGATCTGACGTGTCCATATATTTGTGCGTAGCTCTCTTGTTGTTCTTTGACACATTTTTAAAAAATCGCTTCTCTCTTCGAATACTGGACCAATTGCTTTGAAATTTTCAGTGGTTAAAGATTAATTTCTTCGCTAGAAGGCTATTACTTTTATTTATTTCAAAATTTTGCGTGAATTCTATGAAATTTGATATTTCGTCTAAAATTTTGCTGTATTATTTTTTATCCATGGGAACACGCATTTTAGTCAGTGTCATGACTGGCTGTACGTTTTGATTCTGCAAAATTCTTGCTACTGGAAATTCAGAACTTTTTTGAGGGTACCGGTAGCGTCAAAGGTACCGGTAAAGACTGATTCGCTCTGGTCTAACGTGTCCATATATTTGTGCGTAGCTCTCTTGTTTTCTAAATGGGCATCACTTATCCGAGTTCTCAGCTTGTTTTCTTGTAATGTTAATTTTCGAAAATACTTGTTCCTTCGCACATATATATATATATAGGGTTACCATATTTTTGTGTCTTCCAAGCGAGACATCTCCAAAGACCCCCTAGCTATGATTTTTCAACTTTACGTTTTCCGATTTTACTACATATGGGTTCATTTAAAGCCATCCCGACTGTCTTCATTGATTATATTGTCATCCAGAGTTCATGCGCATATTCTCTGTCGAAATATCGGGTTCAGGAATTGACATTAACGATATAAAATAATTCATACTCAGATTTTTTGAGTACAGCGAAAGGAAGAAAGAATAATATAATAGCCTGCCGTTTCCAATCATTTAGAATTTACTTTCAAGCAAGCCTACAGTACCGCATGCCTAATTTGATAAAAGATTATCTTGTACTGTACAACTTCCAGGCTACCGGCTACGGCAAAAGTTGCTGACCAGCATCCTCTTGACGTTCAGGGCTTACATGTAACAAATTGTATCAATTATCCACTGACAATGTTAGCGGAAAACAACGAACTTTCAGTAAGTAGCCTACGCTACACAGCAACGAGAACATGCTAATTGGTAATGTTCGTGTATCATGCTGGCTGGCTGAACGCCAAAGCGGAACTTTCGGCTGACAGGCCGGGACAAAACGTTGAAGTTGTGGGACTGACCCGCCTAAAACGGGTCGTTCTCTCGTGATAGTTGTATATTTATTTTGTTAAATAATCTGCGCAGTAATCTCAATAATGTATACTGCCACAACTACTGCTAATATCTAATACTATCCAGTAGTTGTGTCTCTTATTAGTTTTTTAACTTTTTTATACTGACATGCATCAGCTAGGTGTCGCTGCGTGAAGACCTCTAGATCAGTGTTTTTCAACCTTTTTCGAGCCACGGCACCCTTTTTCGATTGAGAAAATCCCGCGGCACACCAACATCTGAAAATGTGGCAAAAAGACCTAATATTCACAATATGCTATATTGTTCATGAGTTTTTTTAAACATTGAAGAAAGATGTCGAATTGGACATTTCCAATATTAAACAAATAAAAACAAGGATAAAACGTATTTCACAATCGTTCATATTTATTATTCTCACTCAGTGTGAAACCAGGGGCTGTTTGGATGAAGACAGAGCAGATATCCTGGCAGGAATCGATGAAAGGCACACACGAAGCTCTTCATCATCAGCTCTAAGTCTTTCTCTGTTTTTAGTTTTTATAGCAGTCAGGCTTGAAAAGCTCACCTCACACAGATATGTTGTGGAAAATGGGAGCAATGTCAAAATAGCTTTGTGGGCCAGCATGGAGAACTCCTTGGCAGCTGCCAACCAGAAACTGTCCAAAGGTAGATCAGCAAAGCTTAGCTTGAGACAACGATCTTGTTTCAGTTCAGTTAGTTCCTCCTGCTCCTGCAAAGTCATGTCCATTCCAAAAGCTAATGCTGAGCTGAATGGATCCCTAACCCAGTCAAGGTACTCTGTGGTGACTGAAGAGAAATAAAATGATATCTTCTGCTCAAGGATTTTCAAATGTTTAACTATTACCTCACACAGTGCAGCAGTATTAACACCTTGACATTTATTGGTGAGTGGGAACATTTCAAGATTGCCATTTCCCACATGTCGCTGCCAGAGTTGCACCTTGGAACGGAATCCATTTATTTTATCTGTGCTTGTAAGTAGGTTTTCATTTCGGCCTTGCATTCGTGTGTTCAGTTCATTCAGATAATAAAAAATATCTGCCAGGTATGCCAGTCTTGCACAACACTCTTCACTTGCAAGCAGCTTCGTGTACTCGCACCCCTCGTTCGTCAGAAACACTTTAAGTTCCTCTCGTAGCTCATACACACGGGTCAGCACCTTGCCGCGCGACAACCATCGGACCTCCGTATGAAACAGCAAGGCTTTATGCTCCGCTCCCATTTCTTCACACAAAGCCGCAAATATGCGAGTTTTCAGAGGTCGTGACTTTACAAAGTTTACCATACGCACAACATCATCCATCACAGGAACGAGGTCTGCCGGTAAAGTCTTGCCTACGAGGGCTTCGCGGTGTAAGAAACAGTGAGTTATGATCACATCTGGGTTTTTCTCCTTCACTCTGCTTACAAAACCTTTGGTGCGCCCAACCATGGCTGCAGCTCCATCAGTGCAGACACTCGTGCAGTTTTCCCACGTAAGTTTTCCTTTTTCTAGATATTCTGATGCAACGCGAAAAATTTCCTCTCCCGTTGTTTTTTCTGGCAAAGCCTTGCAAAATAGAAAGTTTTCTCTGATTGTGTCTCCATCCACAAACCTCACATTAGCCAAGAGTTGAGCATGCCCACTAATATCAGTAGACTCATCAAGTTGCAAAGCGAATTTATTACCGATACGGATCTTGTCCAAAACAACACTTTCTATGTCTGCAGACATCTCATTGATGCGTCTGGAAATTGTGTTATCCGAAAGAGGGACTCTGGCTATTTCTTTGGTCGCTTCTGGCCCGAGCATTTCAGTTACAATGACTTTGCAGGCGGGAAGTATTAATTGCTCTGCCACAGTGTGTGACTTTTTTGATTTAGCCACAAGTTCAGCTACGTGATAGCTAGCTTTAAGGGCTTTCGCGTTTACCTTTGCGGTTTTTCTCATGAAAGTGGCCTGTTTCTTTGTCTGATCACGCAGGCGAACAAAATAATCCACATTTTTGTTCTGAAGTAAAGGGTGTTTAGTTTCAAGATGTCGTTTGAGCTTGCTTGGAACCATAGCACCGTTGGAGAGCGTTTCACCACATACCAAGCACAATGGAGTCGGTGCCGTTGCATCTCCGGTACAAGTAAATCCAAATGAAAGATAGTTTTCGTTGTATTGTCTTGTCTTTGCTTTCTTTTCACCTCCACTCATACTAGGGCCCGGATTTTGTCCAGGGTCCAGTACAATGTCCGCATTTTTTCTTTTCAAAAATTTCTCCATCACAAATGCAAAGCGCAGCCAGGAAGAGCGGGAATGACCTTGAGTCTGAGTCGGTCGAATGCGGCTCGTATCACGTGACATCTGTATGACGTCACAATTACCTGCCGCTGCATCCATGCTTGCAAATCGCCACCTTTTGATATGGAACAGTACTACATGATTATTCTACCGGGCACAACACCTCATATATATACACACAAATTGGAGAATTTCCCACGGCACCCCTGACAACATTCTACGGCACACCGGTGTGCCGCGGCACCCCGGTTGAAAAACACTGCTCTAGATGTCCCTCGCGACTCCGGTCACACAATTAACATGATCAGTGTATTTCTTTTGTTGTAACAGTTTTCTATATGCTTGTTTTTTGTGATGACAAATAAAAAATTGATTGATTGTAAAAGCCTACACATATATTATTAAATTTGAATAGAGTTTTTCTTCAAGAAGATACTCATCATAAAAATCAAGCAGTGATACACCTCTCGAATAGAATATGGATCATATTTCCTCATTGCATTCAATATTTTCTGCGCCATTGAACCCGCTGCATTCAGCATCAACTATTCTGAGTTTGTTGACATTTGTCTAATTATAATTACAGTGTAAGCTCTTTGAACGAGTAGCTTGTTCATTAAATTGTTAGGTTATAATATAATTTAGTCTGCACGTATCTCACAAAAAATTCTGTCACCTGAAGAATATAATCGTGGAAACAGTCATTTTGTCGATATAATTCAGTGAAGCATCGCAGGCTGGGCCGGATCTGGCACGCGGCCGTAGGTTGCCCACCGCCTGATCTAATTAAACAATCGCTTTCGTAAGTACTATTGAAATTGATTATCAGGTTAACATCATGCATATTATTGTTGAATGTTTGTAATATAAAATGAATTGTATCAATTTAAAATGTGCATAGGCAGATTATTTTCAGTTTCCATAAAAAGTGGAAATATGAATGAATTAAAAAAGTGAAATTTAATATATGAATGAATTGAAGAAAAATGAAGAATTGAATGATTTAATATATATATAAAATTTGAAGAACTACAATGATTTCCTCTTGGAATCAGCACTACTGAGCATCCTCACTATCCACATGACTGCCGACAAAAGGAATAGACCGATGACCGCTGCCAGTATGATTTCCGGAATCCTCATGTTTTTCGACACATCAAAGAAATACATGATCATAAAAGAAGATGACAGTACACATCTTGACAATTCCGTAAACTGCGCAAACGGTCTACAGGAAAATACGAATAAGTCTATGAAAAGCGGCTTTAGGTATAACCATCAGCCACATGAAATGCAAATGATAACATTTTCCTGTCTGTCCTAAGATAAACCAAATTTTTTGAAAAACTCGACAGGTGTAATCGTAATGCTAATAAACAATCGAATATGGCCAAAACCAAATAGTCCACTATTCACAATACATTCAAACTGTGAGATCTAATGAAATTTCAGATGAAACTGTTCGATGGAATAGCTGAATTTCTCATAGTTACATTACAACTCAGCAAAAAGCAAACTCCGGGTATGACTTATAATAAATAATAAGGTTGGAAACAAATACCAAATTACCTCTTATCAAATAAGTATCCAAAGCAAGTTAAACTTGATAAAATGAATATTGACGAACTAATAATAGCTGATGTTGGCAAAGATGAGTGAAGAAACGTTGCCTGACTGAAGATAGACACAGCAACCAGAAAATGCAGCATAGTATATGCACTTAACCAGTCACTAACATCTGGGTTATAGACATTAACAGGATACACAATCTGTTACAAAAATTTATCATGAATCTCAGCATTTTCAATACTCAATAGCTAGATTATAATTTTATGACACTGCCGCTAATCACAGCCTCCATGCAATTGAATAGGATATCTTTAACTGATTCAAATCTTACAGACAGGACAAACACAGTTCCGAGCAACAAAAAATTAAATCTGGATGCTATAGATATGCAACCCATACCTTTGGTAAATCTTCGGGGTTACCAAGCCGAGGTGTTCCAGGACTCCAACCAGGTCCATAGAAAATAAATCTCAATTTATTTCCAATAGTTTCATGCTGTTGCAATCTTTTCCAGAAACTCATGTAATGGGAAACCTTTATTAAAAGAGTGAATGGATGTTCTAATTATGTAGGATATAGCCATTGATAAATGAGAACTGTCATTGGACACCCATGGTTGAATCTATGATTACACGTCGATTTTGGTATAATGCTTCAAATTGAAGTATTTTTTAATCGGTATAAATTTAACATTATTAGAAATTGCGCTTACCCATAAGAATTTTCATAAATCCATAATCTTTTCATATGAACTGTTAGTTTATTAATATAACATCTCTTTAGTCAAAATTTTCAAATATAAACCTCAAGATTCACCACATGAAATACTAAGCACCTGAATGGCATTGCTGTCAAATGTATCAATGGGATGCACTAGCCCATATACAACTTTCTCATCCTTTTTTTCAGGCTGAAAAGTACCTGTCAATTAATTTAGCAGTATTACACAACTCAGTTTTTAGATCGCTAGACACAGTGGCTAAGTTATTATATATGTTTGAAATAGTTCATCATGAACTTGGAGTCAGACAAAATAAAAAGAACTAATATAATAAATTCAACATAAAATCTGTAATTATTTGAAGCATGCAAATATGAATCTCTTGCAAAACATGAATTTTATTACTATGAAGTATGACAACATTGTATTTGGCTACATCTGATAAGCTGAAATAAATTCATTGCAACAAAATCAAGCTATTGTTTGATACATTTTAAAAATTGAACTTTATCCACACTCCACAGCTTTGAATTTGTTTGCGTTCATTGCTGTAATATGATGTGTTGTGGCATTGTGTAATTTACAGTATGACCCTAATACGTTATGTTTCATTCTTGTATGTACCTATCCTTTACAAGCTAGTCGGTAAGTAAACAATGCTTTATGAGAATAGTGTGATACATGTTTGCTAAGCAAACACATAAAAGCTCAATTGCTATAAAATCCATATATATTACATACCAAACATCCTGTCCCATATGATAAGAACAGCAGCATAATTTTTATCAATGCAGTATGGGTTCCTACCATGATGCACTCGGTGATGACTTGGCGTGTTCAAGATATATTCCAGAGGTCCTGAATATATTAATTCAATATTACTAGAGATTAGAGAATCTACACTGTTTGAACAACACTGAACCATTTCATCTTAAAACCATCTTGATACATTAAACTGATTAGAGTGAGAATATTTGTGAAGTTATTTGAAAATTTTTACAACATATTCAATTAAAGTCGTTTTTTGACCAATTCCAATTGACGTAGTATAAGTATTTGGTTTTTGTACATGCACTACCCTATCATTTTCAAATCTTCATGGTTATGTTGTCTATATCTCAAACATCAAAAAATAGCTAATAACATAAACAAAAAACCTTTCCATTATAAACCAAGCTTTCTAAAAAGGCACCTGAATGACATGCTAGAGATCTCTCACACACTCTGATCAAAGAAAAAACTAGAGGTCGTTGTATTGATGATTAAAGTCATATTGGGAGCCTTTCATTTCCATATCAGTTTTGATCAATTACAATTGGAATGAACCATTCTACTGATACTTCTGAAGTATGCGCGGCGGTGTGGCTCAACGGGCTAAGCGTTTGGAATACGCTCGCCACCGCACCTCTAATTACTCTGCGTGGGTTCGCAGGTTCGAATCCCATGCAGGGATAGTTATGTGCGAGAGGATTGCTGGACTTCTGAAAACAAACAATATAACTAATCCCATGCCCGGCTTGGAATGGTAACCAGACGAGAGGCCGTGGTTCGCCATATGGATAAGCCGTCTTATCGGCTTTCCTCTCCCCTGGGATAAATATGTAAATCCTATCCTATGCGCACAAAGATGTCGCACAACCTGAACCCTAACCTGGTACACAACCTGAGTTCAGGTTGTGCGCCATCTTGGTGCGCATACTTCAGGAGGTCCATTCTACTTACCAAGTGAATCAACAAGTTCTGTGTGAATCCAAAATTGATATAGCAGATTCAATTGTCTGTGCACCATGAAAGAACTGGGTGGTATAAGCAATGCTGCTGGAAGGTAGAAGCTCTGCATATTAAATGATGATAAATGTCAATGAAGAATATTAAGAATGACTAGGAAAAAGAAATAAAAAAGTAAACACCAAAATAATAGTTTGAGATAATATCTGAACCTTTTCTTTTCTCTGAGTAGTAATTACTCACAAATGAAGCATATGTTTGGAAAGCAGATTGACGTAACGCTGTTGTCAACACATAATCTTCAGAGCTGTGATGTGTTTGATGGGTGTTCCAAAGAATATTCACTTCTGTATAAGCAGAACAATAATAACAGAGAATATAATAAAAATGATGGAAATTATATCAAATGGGAATTGGGTAGTGAATGTTGCATCATATTGTCAATGAAATATTGACCACAAATGATTTGCAAAGATAACGAAATCAATCATAACAATATGCTACCATTTTATATTGTCATCTGAGGGTACGGTTACGCCAACAATAGATTTCTATTATTTTTAATATACGCTATTCAGAAGTAGAACAAGGTCCTAAGAATCGGAATGTTGTAAAATTAAAAAAAATTAGCTTAAAACAAATTAGACCACCCTGTTTACAAGCACAACAATGTCTTGAATGACTGTTTTTGCAATATATCGGATTTCTAAAAATTCTTTTCTTCTTACCATGAGCTAGTCTGTGAAACCAATAATATAGAAAGTCATATGCCAATGCCATGAAAATCCAAGTCCATATAGAATTCCACTCCATCTCATACACACGATAATGGTTATAAATGTAAACATATAAAGTAAACTCAATCGACTTCAAACCAGCAAGTCTGAAAACAATGGGCATGATTGAGAATGGAGATAAAAGCCAAATAAGTGTTAATATATAGAATCATTTGCCTTTAATTCAATGATTGGGGAAAATATAAAACTGAAATTTTGCATAACAACTTGAACATATCGAACAATAGAAAAGTGAAACATTGTAACATAGTCACAAAATGATTAATTGAAGGCTTACTCCAACACTTGACTGTACATACCAGCCCCAATGCTGGTTATTTTATCATTTATACGAAGTTCCTTTCCTTTCTGGTACAAAATCATCATCTCCAAAGAGATAAGAATGAAAAAATGAGGAATCGCCTGAAATATAAATAAGGAAAGATGATGAGTCTCTTGATGCAACAGATTAGCCATATTATAATGGTCGAGAAGAACAATACCTATTTGAAATTTCTCCCAGCCTTTTTTTTTTTTAAATAGTCCAATTCAAACTAAAGGAAATCTCGGATTACAAAAAACGTGTATGAATAATACATACACCAGGTATTGAAAAGTGAACTTTTGTTTCAGTATTCCGAACTGATTTTCTAGTAGCAATTTGAGTCAATAATGCAATATGCGTGTTCAAGTATAGGAGTGTATATAGCATGGCAATGCATGCTCAAATTACTTAAGACAATTGTTTCGCAAAAACAGCTACCAAAACTATACACTACATATACAGATATAACTTACAGCAGTAATATAATTCGGAACTTCACTCATTTTTTCAAATATGTTTCTGAAGGCATAACAACATAGAATGTTGCGCGAAATCCCTCTAGAAATGTCAACTCAGATGAATTCGTATGTGGGCCATCAACCTCCATCTTTACAGCATCAAGGTCTTTCTGTCTTTTTCAATACTTTTAGTATACACAAAAAAGTTCTATAAATCCAACATTACATATAAATATAGCCTAGACCAGTGATTTCCAAAGTGGGCGATATCGCCCCCCAGTGGGCGAAAACGATACAGAGGGGGGCGATTTCGCGAAACCTGTTTTATGTTCGGCGCATTTAATTCTGTACTTCTTCTTAATTTTCTATTCTGTAATTCTGTGTGCATTCGCAGGCTTGAATCATGTGGGTGATATTCACACGCGAAAGGATTTCTGGTCTCGTCTTCGCAGAAAGGTACGGTAGTTTGCGTATCCCAGTGGTCGGCAAAATACGGCCAGAGTAAAATAATCTGGCCCGGGACGATTCACTGAATGGACCTTTCCCCGACCTTCGACCGCGGAAAATTTTTCCCATACTTTACCATTTTAAAATTTTCGGTGCTTATTTTAAGAGTGGTTTTGCGAGTTGTCGCCTGTAAAATGGGGTATTTGTTTCAAACTATCATTCTAATACACACCATTTAACAATTTGTTTTTTAAAAGTACCGATAAAGAATTTTAGCCTAGTCTATCACAGCTATTTTTACACTAATTTTTGATTGCTGTATTTAAACTGAAACTCATAGAAAGACAAAGTAATCATTGGCTTATTTGATTTATATTTAAATTTCCGAAAAACAACTAAAAACTAACGAATATAATTCAAAACGCAAAAATGAGGTAGTGTTCACGACCACGTCTAAAAATCTGTCTGAGTGAGAGTGTCTGAGCGGACGCAAAAGAGGGCATTGTTACGTTTTTTGCTTCTTGCTGATTGGCCAATGTCACGAAGTAAACATGGAAGTCTATGCCCCATTGCCCGGGGAAATATTCAAACGGCGGTTTCGACGATGAAAGTTTTTTATTTATAATCTACGCTCGAGGAGTAAATTACATTTTTTTACGTAACAGAATTCATCGTGAGACACGTCTAGCCTTAATTATACTATATCACAACAATTTAGTGAACAGCGACTCGTTTAACGAGCCTACAATTTAAATGTTATTAGACAAATGGAAACACGCAGAAAAGTTGATGCTGAGTGCAGGGGTTCAATAGCGCAGTAAATATTCGAATATATTGCAAAGCACTAAGGAAATAAAATTCATATTCTATTCGGGAGATTCATCACTGCTTAATTTTTGTAAGAATGTATCGTCTTAAAGAAAATATTTATCAAAATTTCACAAATCATGCGAAAATATTCACTTCAATGTTTGGAAGTACATATTTGTGCAAACCATTATTTTTGAAAATGAACATTACAAAGAACAAGCAAAGAAGTGGGTTTGGTGATGCCCATTTAGAAAATGTTTCAATCTTGGCGTCGTAAAACTCAGCAACAAGACAGTGTCACATTAAATGTCATTGTGATATTTTTTCAATAAGACGACTAAGTTGAGTTCACGAATTGTCGCAGTTTTCGCACGCTGTTCCGTTTTTAACTTTCAAAAAATATATGCGACCCGCAAAAAACTAGCAACCCTAAATTTTGTCCTGCGAGCGACATAAAATTTGCCGACCCCTTGGCCCTAGCCGATAGTCATTCACGGCTTCTTCCCCATCCGAGTCCATGAATCCAAAAGCAAATGGCTGGTTAATTATGGACTGGTGATCGGACTGGAGGCCGTGATAGGATGAGGAATCGGGGATGAACTTTTCCGAAGTATTTTGGTGCAAGTCATCAGGCTGTACGAATGAATGAGATGTACGAATTATTATAACTTTGGGAAAATTAACTTTTTTTCTTTTTTTAATGTGGAATGGGGTGAATTTAGGAAGTGGAATGCTATAAGGCAAGAGTACACGGCGGTTTTTGAGGAGGTAGAACCCTGGATTCTTTCATTTCCGACCTATTATACGGTGTTTTCAGCCGTGCTACTATTGCTATTAAAACAACGAAATCACCTTTCCATCAGTAAACAGGGTAATTTTAGATATAATAAAAAACTCGCTGAAGAACACCAAGCTCATCTATCTCATTAAAAAACACTATAAACTATGATTTGTCTTCTTATTTGGTATGTAATATATTCGTTTCTGACTTTATATTTTTTTGGTAGTGGAGGGGGGCGATGAAGTTGTATAAACTACTTTAGGGGGGCGATGGTCAAAAAAGTTTGGGAACCACTGGCCTAGACTATATCCCAATTTTGCTACAAATAAGAAATGCCCGAACATTGTTCCGCAACATTCACATCACAGTTCCGTCAAACTTCAGTTTAGTACTGTAGTACAGTAGTACCTAAACTAGTCAAGTAACTTTACAATCAGGAGATTTTCAGTTACCATCAAAGACGAACAAATTAGGTCTACCAGGGATGGGCGCGGCAGTGTGGCTCAACGGGCTAAGCGTTAGGAATACGCTCGCCACCGCACCTCTAATTACTCTGCGTGGGTTCGCAGGTTCGAATCCCATGCAGGAATGGTTATGTGCGAGAGGATTGCTGGACTCCTCGCCGTCGTTGGGTGGTTCACGTAACCGCTGGTCGGTTACGGCTTCCTCCACCACCAAGTTCATGCTTCCGAAAAAAACAAACAATACAGTAAAAACTAATCCCATCATACCCGACTTGGAATGGTAACCGGACGAGAGGCCGTGGTTCGCCATATGGATAAGCCGTCTTATCGGCTTTCCTCTCCCCCAGGATAAATATGTAAATCCTATCCTCCTATCCTATATCTGAATATTGACATTTCTATTCTATGCAATTCAAGAGTCCTGCTGTAACGGTACGGTACGCTAACACGAATGTATTTCTGTAACGTTTCGTCTGACCAAAATCAGACCTCCTCAGGACAAGCAGTTTACAACAATGAATGCTGGAATGTGTGAGTGCAGTACCGTACCGTCAGACGGTAGTGTGCACCGTGTTTCAGCATTTTTATTTCTGCTACAGCCTCCTTGCATTATACGCATACCGGTACCAGTACCGGTAGGGATCCACTAGCGCAAAGGCATTGAGAAATGATTGGGAGCTAGTCTCGCGCAACCTCTGCTGATAGTTATAAATGAATTTGTTTGTATACCTACTACCGGTACCGGTATTCCATTTGCTATTCTGCATTTCTGATGCACCCATGCGTAAACGACTGTTACCAGACAACGAAAATTTTAAGTTGATATTAATGGTCCTCACCTCACTAGCGCCTCCGCTGGAGAGACAGCTTAATAACAGACGATGACTTCGCGATTGGTTATGTCCGGTATGTTATCGTTGGTTATGTCTATAATCTATATATTTACGGTTAAAGGCATGTTAGAAATGGAAATAGCGCAAAAGAAGATACAAATTCTTCTGGGAGTCGTTCATCCACGAATAAAAAGGTGGGCGGGTTTAAGCGTGGATTTTTGAGTGGAATAAGCATCTTCTGTTAAAATTTTAAACATGAGCCTCAGTTAATAATGGCTTGTGATATATTTATCATTAATATGCATTGATATTTTAACGGTTTTCCAAGATGGCCAAAACTTTTCAATAAAGGCGAGATGCCATCGGTCACAAAGAAAAAATGAGCCACCTCATTCGTTGTTTTTAACTTCGGGCGGAACTATATAGTGAATGCTACTTGCTCTTGTACAGAGGGGCTAACAATTTGCCACCATTCGTTAGCATGCCTGCACTACACATTTGAGTAATCTGCAACTGCGAAAAGTACCTCCAGCCATCCCTGGCACTATGCAGTTGCAGTCTTGGCATCATCAAAGAAGCGAAGGATTTAAACAGCTGCCTATCCAGAAAAGCTGGAATCTAAAATAATTCTGAAAGAATACCGAATAGCCATTTACTGAAAATGATGCCTGATGTATGACCTAATTAACCTTACACCTAACTTTGAAAATAATTCGATGGATAAACAAATTATAAAGGTTGTTATACATGGGAATGAAAAAATTAAGTAAGAGTGAAATGTTTGTATTATTGGACACGAAATGTACATATGGATCGTTTTTGGACACAAAATGTACATATGGATCGATTTTGGATACGAAGTTGAAGCCTTTTTCAACGGTTAAAGATTGTATTTTTCGCTAGAGAAGGCTATTACTTTTATTTATTTCAAGATTTTCTGTGGGCTCTATGTGATTTGTTTTCACTTCAAAATTTTGTGTGATGACTTCTTCAAATTTGATGAAAAATATTTGTGGCGGCTCGACGATCCCTCTCGTGCTTCGCGAAAGTCTGAAGTTTTTTTTACCGTGGCGTACAGTAGTAGACAAAGTAAGGTAATTTATAAAAGGTAGGGTAGACCGGTAGAGTACTGCTTCGCTCCGTCTTTCGTGTCCATATATTTGAGCATCGCTCACATATTAATTAACTTGTCAAACTAAGCAAGAAATTCAGACGTATAAGATCAAACTCAAATGCTCCATTCCGATAGCAACAACTTACCTCATGGGGATACTGATTTTCGCCCAGATCGAGCGCTCAAAAAGAAAGATCATTGTGTTGGGGCAGCAAGGCGTGGTCGCCTCCATTTTCACAAACTTTAAATATTTCGATTGTAATATTAAAAACTGTTCCTACCTAAATACGTTATAAAATCTTTTAGAAGATGTTTGTCTTGCGTACACTGGACTCGGGTTTCCTGGACTCGGGTTTCCTACAGACCAGCGTTACCCAAACTTTTTCGGCCACGGAACACTTACACTTTTTATCTCGCCTCGCGGAACATCAAAAAATGAAAGGTTAAAATTGATAAAGGAAAAGGGTGTAATGTAGCGGTTCCCAATGGGTTCGCCGTGGCGAGTCGCCAAATGTGCCGCGAAAACAAGATTGTGTTAATATATATATATCATAATATACAACATATTATTGATTGCATTTTGCAAACTTGTTCTAGCTCAACTTGGCGATTGCACTATAAAAATTCTACTTTGCGAATCAGAGTTTTGGTTCAGCATATTTTCATTTCAAATTCCAGACTTTTCAGGTTGTTGAAAATTGAAGTGGGAAATTTCTACAGAAAAAAGTTGACTAAACAATCTTTAGTAGGCTCGTATTAACTTAAATTTTTATTGCCCGGATTCTATATGCAGTGCACAACCTATTATCATATATCCTAAATATGAGTGCAATAACAAAATAATATAAATAAATAATAATAACATAATCTCATTCTACGTAATACCAAGTTCACTTGTTATCTCATAGTCTAATTATGGATCCCAGTCTTTCTATTCTTGCAAATTTGACAAATTTGAGATGTATTATCACTGTTGGGTCACCCAAACCTATTTTTGTTTGATGTTAGCCCAAGGGTCTAAGCCAGTGGTTCTCAAATTTTTGAGCGCGCCACCGTTTGAAAAATTTTTACAAACTTCGCGCTCTCCTCCCTTTTGCATTGAAAAATGCTTTTGTGATGAGCATGTTGCTTTATATTAAGATGGCGCTGTAAGAGTGTTGGTCTCATAGCGTTATTGCTCTGATTGTTTAGGCATAAAACTTATAGAGTACGACTTCGCCATTCACAGTCGTATGTATATTTTATCGACACAATCGCAGATCTGGTTGATCACAAATAATAACGAAACCATTTTAAATATGTATATCGATCATGAATTGACAGAAAAACCATTAAATAATATTATCTGTTGAAAAAGTCGGCTCTTTTAACAAGTTGCGTAATCTCGACAACTGACTCAAGAGCGTGTGAAGAATATGTATTTTTGATTTACCAATATACTTTATATTATTTTCTTTGTACTAAATTAAATATTCTTTCCGTGACTTTATACCAGATCTTTTTAACGACGATAACGAATTCGCATGAGCGCAATACATATCAAAACTTAATATAATTGGGCGGTTGATCTCGCATTATTATGTCCGCGGATTGGAGTGGTATTTTAGATCGGTAATGAGTTTATTTTGTCATGAGTCGCCGCAAAGGCGAGTTACCTTGAACACAAATGTAGTAAAATAGAGATTAATAGATTGAAAATTTGGGGGCAGAAAAATTTATTATTAGAAAAAGCCGGCATTTTGAACAAACGCGATCGTTTCAGAAGAAGTTGCATGAAAATTTTCGATGCCATCTTGTGTCCTCTCGCGCCCCCCCCTGATAGCATCTATTTCTGTTGGGTCTAGACCAAACTTATTTTTGTTTGATCCTAGCCCAAGGTCAAAGCCAAAACTTATTCTGTTAGGTCTAGCCAGATTATTTTGTTTATCCTAGCCCAAGGGTCTAAGCCAACTTATTTCTGTTGGGTCTAGCCCAAACTTATTTTTGTTTGATCCTAGCCCAAGGGTCTAAGCCAAAACTTATTCTGTTGGGTCTAGCCCAAACTTATTTTTGTTTGATCCTAGCCAAGGGTCTAAGCCAAAACTTATTGCTGTTGGGTCTAGCCCAAACCTATTTTTGTTTGATCCTAGCCCAAGGGTCTAAGCCAAAACTTTATTGCTGTTGGGTCTAGCCCAAACTTATTTTTGTTTGATCCTAGCCCAAGGGTCTAAGTCAAAACCTTATTGCTGTTGGATCTAGCCCAAACTTTATTTTGTTTGATCCTAGCCCAAGGGTCTAAGCCAAAACTTATTGCTGTTGGGTCTAGCCCAAACTTATTTTTGTTGATCCTAGCCCAAGGGTCTAAGCCAAAACTTATTGCTGTTGGGTCTAGCCCAAACTTATTTTTGTTGATCCTAGCCCAAGGGTCTAAGCCAAACTTTTCTGTTGGGTCTAGCCCAAACTTATTTTTGTTTGATCCTAGCCCAAGGGTCTAAGCCAAAACTTATTGCTGTTGGGTCTAGGCCCAAACTTATTTTTGTTTGATCCTAGCCCAAGGGTCCTAAGCCAAAACTTATTTGCTGTTGGGTCTAGCCCAAACCTATTTTTGTTTGATCCTAGCCCAAGGGTCTAAGCCAAAACTTATTTCTGTTGGGTCTAGCCCAAACTTATTTTTGTTTGATCCTAGCCCAAGGGTCTAAGCCAAAACTTATTGCTGTTGGGGTCTAGCCCAAACTTATTTTTGTTTGATCCTAGCCCAAGGGTCTAAGCAAAACTTATTCTGTTGGGTCTAGCCCAAACCTATTTTTTGTTTGATCCTAGCCCAAGGGTCTAAGCCAAAACTTATTTCTGTTGGTCTAGCCCAAACTTATTTTTGTTTGATCCTAGCCCAAGGGTCTAAGCCAAAACTTATTGCTGTTGGGTCTAGCCCAAACTTATTTTTGTTTGATCCTAGCCCAAGGGTCTAAGCCAAAACTTAATTGCTGTTGGGTCTAGCCCAAACTTATTTTTGTTTGATCCTAGCCCAAGGGTCTAAGCCAAAACTTATTTCTGTTGGGTCTAGCCCAAACTTATTTTTGTTTGATCCTAGCCCAAGGGTCTAAGCCAAAACTTATTATCCTAGCCCAAGGGTCTAAGCCAAAACTTATTGCTGTTGGGTCTAGCCCAAACTTATTTTTGTTTGATCCTAGCCCAAGGGT